CCTGGCTTATTTGGTAAACTTGTTTTATGGAATAGGCCCCAGAACTTGTGAGGAAAAAAAAAGTCTGAATTGTGAGATATAAATTAAGAATTGTGAGTGGAAAATGACACAATTACTTTTTTTATTCTATGGCATAAGCTTCTATAATGTTAACTGAACATAAACAAAAACCTTTATAAGTGTGCTTGCTTATGACGCTACTAGTATTGTGTTATTTTACTCAAAAATATGATGTATGCTTATAAAAGTAATCAATAGACTGATCAATAGGTTGATATTTCCAATACTGGATGTCTTATACAGACTGAGTCTTAGGTGTCCTCCATTGGGCAGTACCGGTGCTTTCCATTGGATTGTACCAGTGAACTTACTGTTAAGTGAACCAATGAACTTTGTGTGATTTCCACCATATGGCAGGTACAACTCAAATAAGTTTGATGTATGTCCCATGTGAACACTTCCAACCAATAGGAGACAGCGAAATAAAAGTTATATTTAAATATCTGACCAGATATTTGACCAGATATAAGATCTGGCCAGATTCCACAATTAAAAAATGAGCCAGGTAGACCATTAATTAATAGTGGACTCAGATGCGGGCACTGTCATCTTGGCTTTGTTGCTTTGTACAATGAAGTCTTATTTTGACACCTGCATCTCGAGCTTCATTGACTTCATAGAAAAGACCATTGCTTTCTCCACGACACTAGTTTTACGCCTAGATGTTTATTCATGTGCCGTACTGTATATACTCATGCAGTGGTTTGGGGTAAATTGCATCCTGTATATATTACAGTAATATTGGACAATTTTTGCACTGTGGCTGGAACAACCACTTTGTTCAGATCAATAAGTGAAAAAAAAAACCTTAAACTGCATGATGACCCAGCTTGTAAAAATAGTTGTACATCATGTCCCAAAATTACCTTAATTCCCGCTTTATAGTTTTCTGGTGAAATACAAAATAACACAACTCGTGATGGAGTCTGTTGTGAAGATTAAGTGAGGGAGAGAGTCACATGTCGCTGAGGGGATAGAAATAGCTGCAGTCTCTGTCAAAACAGTTTATTGCATTTCTCTTCATATTGTCCACTCTAAGTAAACAGCCCTCACTGCCATATACACTCATGATGAGGGTGTGTGAGGACAGTGTGAACAGCTGGAGACAGTGAACAGTTATCTTGGTAAACAAGCAGCCAAGTCACTCAGATCAGGCAAAGTTAACCAATGTCCTCAAGTGTTTTGCTGGCATAACTGGAACTAAAGCTTATGAAATGTGCTTTTATTATGCAATATAAAAAAAAATATCATGCAGATTTGTGCACATAGTTGAAATGTGCCTTAAGTTATTTTGTGTTGATAAATCATATGAGCTTTTCTCACATTTGCTCAGGTTTCTTATGACAGTGGTTCCCAACCCTGGTCCTGGAGGCACCCCAACACTGCACCAACTTTTGTACAATTTTTTGTACCATTTAATGTTTCATAAGACAGTGGTTCCCAACCCGGGTCCTGGAGGCACCCCAACACTGCATGTTTTGCATGTCTCCGTTATCCACTTCATTCAGTCATTCAAAGATGTTTTAATTACATCAATCAACAAACAAGCTTACAGGTTCAATTTAAAATGTCGACATTCATTTTAAAACACTTCTGAAAATATGGTCTCTATTCGTCAGCAGTTAAAAATGGTACACTACAGTGTTATATTTAGTACTTCAAGCACAGGGAAAAAAGACATGGAAACAAGAAAATTGATTTCTGTGTGAGGTGGTGTATGAAAATACATTTTGTGGAAATTTGCTTTGACAGTTTCAGACAGGTGAAGGAGAGATTGCGCGGGGAGCTAGAGTTGATCCTAATCCCCCTAAAATCACATTATTATTTTTTTATTCAATTGTACAGTACGTCATGTGAGACAGTAGAAAGGAAAGTTTGGGACGTGGTTCAGGATGTGACAGGCCAGATATGAATCTACATGCCTGTGAGAATGTGCACTAACTGGTTTGCTATGACTCCAGAAAAATATTCTTATTCTAACAAATAAAATCCATAGCAATGATTGAAAGTAATACACAAATACATACTGACATATTTTCATCTGAATATATCAGTTATATCAAAATGGGTCCAATAACCAGACTCCAATAACTGGACCGAACAATTTGGCAAAGGGGTTTTTAACTTGACATTTTTTATATTTGTCCTAAAAAACATATATTTGGTTAAACATGGGTCTAGTGTGTCTTGATACACAGCTGAATGAGAAACAGAATCTACCAGACACTGAAAGAAGAAATACACTTTAAATAAACCTCGAATAGAAGTCGATCTATGGAAACTCAGTTTTTCAGCATGTATTTTTCCTCTGTCCTGTATTTCCTGTTTTCAAGGAAGCATAGGTCAAAGAGGTTCATCAGATATCGAGACTAGGTCATGATATTTCTGTTGAAGTCATATGACAGTCTTCTCTTAGCATTTGCAGCTAATTGCTGGTTGGACGTTGGGAGATTTGGAGAAAACCTGGCACTGGTCTTCAGTCGAACTGTCGCACATTCCTGAGGTGGAAAGGATGATGGTTATTTAAAACATGCACTTAACTTGTGTTTCCAGTACCAAGCTCTATTTATGGTCAATGTAGAGTATAGAAATCCATTTGCTATTTCAAATAATATTACAAGTGTTTGATGTAGCAAACGCTCACCAGGAAGTTTTCATTATATATTATTGCAGTGGTTTTATATTTCATTACAGCAGACTCACAGAGCTGGGACGTTGCAAATGCAGTGACTGAAGGAGAAGTTTACAGGACAGAGACTCCGCCCTCTTATATTTCACACCAATCATCCGGTCTAGATCCTGGAGGCCATCAAGTAAGCTCTGCTCCCTTTGGGCCAAAGCAAAATGATTAGCTCGGAATTTTATAGCATGTAACGAGAAAAACAAATACCATTATTGTACGTGAAATTATGAAAGAAAGATTTGTTTGTACATTTTCAGTCATCTCAAGAGGATTAAATACAGAATTTCATGCAAAACATTCAGTTCTTTGTGCTTTGTGTGATGAGATGCAGTAGCATTTTCTATTACCACAAGGTGGCGATAGAAGACTAATATATATGTCAGGGGTTTTTAAACTGTTACTAGAGTCTTCCCAGCATTCCACATTTTGGATGTTTTCCTTATTAGCTGACAAGTGTTAAATAAGGCAGGCATCCAAAAATGCGCATTCATTTGGAGGCTCTAGGAATGGCCTGAAAACCCCTGAAGTATGTCTCTAAATAAAAATTTTCTCAAAATGCATAAACTTTGTGTGAAGTGACATGTGGCCAAGTATGGTGACCCATACTAGGAATTAGTGCTCTGCATTTATCCCATCCAAAGTGCACACACACAGCAGTGAACACACACACACCGTGAACACACACCCGGAGCAGTTGTCATAATTAGTGCAGCAAAACTACAGATAATACAACATACTTGTGCTCCCCTGTATTGCTGTTTTCAGCTGGTCCTTGCAGAAGCTGCTTTAGTGTAGGAATGTATTCAGGATCTTCACAGGGGGACTTTTCTGAGGGAAAGGCCTCTAGAAACACATTTGACTACACATACAAACACACGTACAGTAAGGATCACTAATCATCAGAGCATCAACAGTGATGAATAGATGTTTTAGTTACTCATATGTAAAATTACAACATTTTAGAGTTTAAAGATATATTAGTATGATATTATAAAATTAGTCATTAATTAGTTTGTGGAGGATGAGTGGGTCATTACGTGATTGTATAAAATGGAATATTTCACCTTTTTCTGGCCGATTCTGTAGTATGATGAATGATTAACTCTATAATTGATTTTCTATTCATATCACAGGGTCTCTTTTATCTCACATACTTTAATAATTTACATTTATTAATTTGTTAAGTAGTTTAATAAGTGGAATAATGTACATTCATTAGGTCAAGATTAGGACAGATTAGGACACCAACATAACAGAGCATAAACCTTTACCACATTATGGAGAGGAGAGAGAGGAAGGTTTGGTTTTTCGGTAGAAGGCCACCAATGGCCACCAGGCACTATCTTCTGCTCCACAGTCTCCTGGCTGAAGGCAGTCCATGTGCTCTCTGACTGCTGGAATGACTGGACTGCAGTCCAATCAGATGCCCAGGATGCGGGTTCATTTGCATCAGCAGAACTTGTGTGTTCCTCTGAGAGGAGATAAAGGCTCATTTAAGTCTTTATAGTTTCATTTTCAAGGCTCTCATACAAAAACTCTTTACAAGACCAGAAGGCGCTATGTTACTGGAAAGATGTTCTGCTTTCTGCGGTGGAAAGGTTTCACACAATGTAGAACATGTGTAATAATTTACAAGTGGTGAAAGTGTTTAACCAAACTTCAGTTCTCTGCTTATGTAAAAAAAAATCTAATGTGGTATTTATAGACCATGGTGGAAAAGTACAACATAGGCTTATAAGAAAAATGTGCCTTTACCTATATTTTTGCAAAACTTAAAAAAACTTACCCATACATTCAATTCACTAGAGCAGTAAAACACCAATAATTTATATTCCTTTTCACACAAATTATGATTACTGGGCCAGATTATTAATTAATAAAGACTTATTTTTGTGCGGCTTCTTGTGATTACCTCAGAACATTTTTACCATAGTGCATGATTTGCAAATAAATTAACTTGCTTCATATGTATAGTTGTGCTTTCAAATCGATTAATTGCGATTAATCGCATCCAAAATAAGTTTGTGTTTACATGACGTGTGTACTGTGTATATTTATATTTTTTCTTAAATATATACATGTATGTGTGAGTATTTATATATACATATAAATATACACAGCACACACACATATATTATGTAAACAAACTTCGATTAATCGATTTGACAGCACGATGATTTTTCTGACGAAGTAAACTTGCTCGGTAGCTCACCTGGTACAGCATTAGACTTGTGATGTGGAACACTGAGGAATGTGGAAAAACTCAAAGACTTATAGAAGCAAGCTGAAATGGCTTGCTTCAGCAAATGTGTTTTATCTGGTGTTTGCTTTTGTTAACACTGTAAAATTTAGTGTAGGTGGTACATTATTAAGGCATTAGAGCACCACTCACCAGACATATAGTTTCCAATCTGTCACAATATATACAACAACCAACATAATAAAACATTACCAGATTCATGTTCATCTTTTCGGATAAAAATGAACTCACTTTTACCACCACTCTCTGGATATTTCACTTTAAAATGCATCATGAAATGTGCAAGAAGCAATGTAATATGATTTTGAAGAAATGTCTCAACAGGAAAACAGTGAATGTATGTTAAATGGCTTCTAGAAATAACTTGTCATTTGAAATATCTACTTGTGTGATGCAATTTCAGAATGAAAAACTATAAAAAGTAGGTTAAACCTGTTTATGCTCACTATTGGAATCACCAGGTTTTCACCTTTTTAGAGAACAGGATTAATCCTGCAGATTAAAATTACACAGTGGCTGCCAAAAATGGAATTGAATCCATAAAATTATTAAGTGGAAAGTGTTTGTGGTTACACTTTATTTTAAGGTGTCCTTGTTACAGTAATAATTACACATTTAAGTACTAAGTAATATTAAGTAACTACATGTACATATATGGTTAGGATTAGGGTTTACTTGCACGTAATTATGCATAATTTATTGTTATTCTAATAGTAAGTACATGCAACATGTGTAATAAGGACACCTTAAAATAAAGTGTTACCGTGTTTGTTTTTGACCAAAGATTATAGTTAGAAGACGTACTAGATGAATAAACAATGAAGTGTTTGTCCTCTATTTTGATCAAGCCATTCCCTCTAGACATGCTGCCTTTGGCATTGTGAAGGTTGGCCTCCCCTCTTGTCCCAATGGCCTTGTGTTTGCATGTCATTTTAATGCTGCCTCCTGCCTTAGGCTGGTACACAGCAACAGAGGAAGAGTGAGTGGTTGGGGGTTGGGGGGTAGGAATTCCAAGCAGTGCTTTAAATAATTAATATCTTCACATGAGGTCGGGGGAAGCGAGGGGGTCTGCAGGAATCCAGGTCAATCCAGCCAGACTAGTACATTGGGACTGCATGTTATCTGCTCACTCAAACCCAAACAAAGCCAGGTTCCTTCTCCAGAAGAGAACTTACTGTACCTTAGGACTTATGTGACAAAATGTATTACCTTGCTACTTTCAAGACAGCGTACTTACCACAGTTGTAATCCTCAGCCAACTGTTGGACCTCACTGAACCCATCCGTCCACAGCTGCTCTCCACCTGCCTGCATGAATGCCCCAAACTCCTCCTCCTCCTCCTCGCCCACATCAAGAGACCCCTCGTCAGCGGCCACCTTGTCCTTGTCGTCAACTCTTGCTGGCTCTGATAGCAACTCTGAGTTCACCAGAGGCAGCAAGTCTCCACCTCTAGCCCCCGCCTCCGCCTCGCTTAATGCTGGGATGGCTGTTGCTATGGCTGTGGTGGTGGTAGGGGCAGGATTAACCAGGGAGTGAATAGTGGTTACAGTTATATTGGCTGTTGTTGCGCTAAAGCCTCGTGAAGAGGATTTGTCAGACTGCTGAACTTCATGTTCTCCATGCTTTGTGATTAATTCCTCCCAATGCTGAGGTGAGCACATGGACGGCCTACTTTTCTTTTCTGTGGTGCTACATTCAGCACCCACTGGAGTGCGGTCCTCCGGCAAAACTGTATTCTTTGTGTATGGAGTCCCATCTCTCTGTGTTGCAAGATCGCCGGGCTCCACCGAGTGTAGATTCTCACGGTCTAGTAGGCGCTCGTCTGGCCTGGATTCTTGATTCTTCTGAATGCTGATAGGGACTTCGGAGGGAGTTATCATGGGAGAATGATCCATGCTTGGCTCAGTATTACAGTTTGTTGTGGTCAATTTGATTCTTAGACTATCAGAGTGAGTCTCAGATGCTACAGATGACCCTAGGTTTGGCACATCAGCAACAAAGTTCTGGCGATCATTTGCATCAAGGTCACATTTACTGACCTCAGTGTCTCCTTGCACATTGGCACAACTGAATTCTTTTTCAGAACAGTTATCGGATTGATTAAGGCTCATCTCATCTTCAACCTGCTCACCTGGTTTGGCACATGGTTTGGCAGAAGAGCAGCAGGTTTGTGGATCTGTGCTCTTGGGTGTGACAGCTTTCACTAATATGGGGGAATGAGCCCTTTTGTCTTTGCCCTTCAACTTCAAGTCGTCCTGACTTGGATAGCTACCCGTCTGGCCTTGTGTTATGTTAAGTGGTTGTGCATCTGAAATCACTGAACTTTTTTGGTCACTGCGCTGACTAGTGTTTTCCCCTTTGCCATGAGCCGCTGTTCTTTTCTCCATTGTTTTACCGCATTTCCTCCATTTTCGTATGGCCCTGGGCTTGGCCTTGAACAATCCACCACTGTCTGGCCCATCCTGGCTCACCTTCTGCCCTTTAGAGGAACATCTAAGCTCTTCCTTTGTCCCCTCAAGAATGACAGCGTGAGTCCGTGGAGCCGTGACTCTCGTCCCAGTCCCGCGGTTTCCAACAGCACAGATGTAGCTGCCCCTGCCCTGGGCCTTGAGAAAGAGGCAGCGTGTCTGAGTCTGCCTACCACCCCCCTCAGTGCCCTTCAAAGTGGCCACAGTTACAAGAGCGCCAAGACCGCCTTGCCTGACCCCTGGAGTTCTGGTTGCACTAATTGTGCTCTCCATTGTGTGCCCATAGCCACTGCTGACCTGACCTGACCAGCTTCTCTGCCCTAGCCTGTTTTCAGGAGGCTGTTGGCATGTGCCCTGTGCCCGAGATCCATTAGCGGCCTTTCGTCTGGCTTTAGAGTAGCCGCCACTCACAGCCCATGCTCTCAGGCCTTTAATCAGGGGTATGGCTCCAAACTCAAGGGCACTGGCGAATGAGACATTGGTTCTTCGGCATTCATGCAGTAGCTCCCTATGGGCCATGTCCAAGCAGTTATTGTTGTTGTTCTGTTGCAGCATTCTTCTTGGGGGAATAATATCAGATGCTGTGGTGGGTAAGAATGACATTTAGGATGTCAAAAACTTGAAATTCTTCTGTTACAGCACAACATTTAGCAATCAGTTAAGGAAGGCAAATTGCATATATCTTGATTTAATGATGATTTAAGTTCAATACCTGACAATTAATGGTCAACGTACAAGTGCAGGCTCAAATTTTAGTTTAGGTCTTTGCAAATTGTCTTCAAATAAAACTTCAGATAAAATATACAGTAAAATAATCCAGTTACTCAATTTAATCCATTCACTCCATTAATTTTAAAATCTCTCTCTCACACACACACACACACACACACACACATAATTTTCTTGCAATACTTAAAACTGTAATATGTATTGTAACATTTTTTTTAAAAACTGTAATACAACTTGTATACAATTGTTTACTACAGTTTTGTAATTTGTATTCTTGACAATTAAAAGTCAATACAAAACAAGTGCAGGCTCAAATATTTGTTTAGGTCATGGCAAATTGTCTTAGATTTGAGTTAATATTCTATACACTATATATTCTATAATGTCTATACACACACAAACTGTGTAATATACTACAACATGTATATATACTACAATTACTTTATATTCTATATACTATAATATATACCGTATACACTACAGTTACTGTATATACTATAATTTTGTAGTATGTATTTTTATGTAGTTTAATGTATATCATAATTATATACATACTGTAATAACTATGAAATATAATAATATTAAATAAAATACATATTCAGTATTTATTATGCAATTCTATTTTTATACTCTTAGCTTTTTAAACTCTATTAAAAAATGGATACTGTCATGTCAAACCACGAAAAGACTATTTCTAGGCTACTTAATACAATTATTCCTATATTTTATATGTAGTTATTATAACTGTATTACATTTATAATGTATGTATGTACATGATTGTTTTATTTGATAATATGATTGTTTTATTAAGAGCTAGTGTATTTAATACTTAAGTTACTGTATAATGTATCATTAATGTATAATAATTTTTATTTCGCATGGCACAAACTGTCATGATGATCAGAGGACGCTGCGTTATGTAGTCTACACACACAATACGTGATCACATCACTTGCACCAAATCGGGAGTCTTATCATTAACTAATAGGACTTGCCCACATGAGGTAACCTCGGGGAGGGGGAATTATCTGCATCGATTCTTTTCGTGGTTTGACAAGATAATATCTCTCTTTTTCGGGATATCATAAATAACCCATCTTTCTTTCTTTGTATCCTCTTACCTTTACAGTGTGCCAGTCATTTTCCTCATTCGGATGCGATGTCACGAATCACACAATTCCAGCTGTCGTGCGTTGTGAAGATGCTGCTGGGCTGAGGGATTTTGGCTTTAACCTTCATGAGGATTTTGGACCGTCTAGAAATGATGATATCCATGACGCCACTTCGTTTTAAGACAGCATATCCGAATACAGACCACCAACCTATTATATCCCATGTACGTCTCGTGTGCTCCGTTGAAGTGAACCTCACGCTACTGCTCCGTGTCTCCTCCTCATAGCGCAGGCTGCTTTCACTGGCAATGCAACGCAGAGCCTCCGCAATCTAGCGCGTGCGCTCAGCTGACCAATAGCAGAGCGTGCAGCACGCTGTCTGTGCTTTTACGCTTACGCACGAAGAGGACACGCACACGCGGGAACACATTGCTTCATTATAGCTTTTAATTTAGTTCTTCAGCCAGTTCTGGTGAGTATAGGCTACTTTTGAAACCCTCTTGCACTCACTCTTTTGCTCGACTTCGTTTAGCCATAATTGGTAGAAACTCAATATAAAGATAGCCTACTTTTGTGTTAATAACATGGTGGTCTATGTTTACAGTAAGCACTTTAATTCTAATCGGAATCATTCATGTGCAAACTATTTTAGTTTCATTTTTGTCCAATACATAGTTCACAGAAAATGAAAATTGTCATCATTTACTCACCCTCGTGTTGTTCCAAACCTGCCTATGACTTTATTTCCTCAGTGGAAAATAAAAAGGGAAATGATTTTTATTTTTCAGAAGACATTTGTGTATAAAACACAGACAAGGAATGGACTCTTTTATGACACTTTAATGATGCATTTATGGTGTTTTTGTGTTTTGTCGTAGACTTGAATGCTCCAGCCTCCTTTCATTGTAATTACTTGGACAAATACAACCAATACATTCTTCAAAATGTCTGTTTTCAGTGTGAGAAAGTAAATAAGGGTTTGGAATAACATGTGGATGAGTAAATTATGATCACATTTCTTTATTATGTTTGTAAAAGTTTCATCTGGATGTGGTTTTCATCAATCATTAAACATTTTAGATATGTTCAATACTGTATATTGCAATCTCGGGGAAGGCTGTCTGCTACTGTTTGTACATTTTTCTTGCCATATCAGTTTCAGACTTGGACCACTACTCGTCATTAATCACATTAGAAAAATCAGTGGAAAACGTCAGGAAATAATTATGTACAACTAATTAGAATGTTAATATTTTATTTGACTGTTCTATTTTTGCATTAGATGGAGATAAGCATCATCTAAATGATTGTTTCAAAAAAAGCAACACATTACAAACATGCAGTTCTTTAATTAAACCTGTCTTAAATATAATATATATACAATGATATTGCTCGCAGGTAGGCCAATTCCATCACCAGCGCAAGAGTTAATTTTAAAAAGAAAAGAAAAGAAAAACATGTCACACTCAGTGTTTTCAATTCATAAGAATTCAGAGCATTTCTTCTGAACAGAGAAATGCTTTCTGGTACAGCACGTCACAATCCTTAAAAATTGTGAATGAAAAAAAACTTCATATTGTTTAAATTTATCTTAAAAGTCACAAAAATATGTATCACAAAAATACTCTACATTACAGGCTTTCTTTTTAGTTTCTTATCTGTACAGATCATGCATATAAATATGTAAAAATAGTACATGTTTTTCTAATAGTATCTAAAATAAACAAAATTCCATAACAACAACCGAAAACTACAGAGACAAACCAGGCATCGAAAAACCAAAGCAATATTACCAAAATGCTGTAATTCTACAGCATAAATGTCATGCAAGACTGCACAAGAAAATCATAAGAAAATGTAATGTGTTTTAAATATCTTTGCATCTGTCTATGTTCTACAGATTTGTGCCTATGTTTTTTTTTTTTTATCTACAACTAAATATTTTTGTGTAAATATCATGTGATCTTTACAAATATATAAATTTAAAGTGTCATACAGAGTGGCAAGTTACAAAACATGAAAATAATGTCTAAAATAAATAATATTCTTTTTGTAGCAACATTTTCATTATGTATAAGTTGCAAAATCTGGAGAAAATAGGTTTGCTTTCTTTACTTTAAATAGAATAAAACCTGCAAGACTGAAACAATTGTCACATACAAATATGTGGGCCTAATTATTATTCCACTACCGATTATATGTCACAGTTCTGTAACTGAGATTCTTACTGTTTCGAACTGGTACCTTTTGTTTCTGTATACTTTGTTGTCTTAGTCACTACAGTAAGAGTTCCCTCTGTTTTAGTAATCAGATGCTCGGAGGGCATTTCATGGGTCAAAAATTCTACGCTTGGTATCTTCACATAGAAACCTCCAGAGGCTTCCTCGATAGAACAAGGAAGAGAGGACTTGCTTCCTTTGGGAGAACTTTGTGGTGTGATATGAAGGATGTCAGTAGAATGGGGACTAAGGGTGACCTTGGGTACTTTGAACCATGTTGTCTCCTCTCTTTCTTCACACTTCATTACAGACACGAATCCAGATGATACTGTGGGTACTGGAGACTCTGATCCCTCCCGTTCTGCCAACATTTCAGTCCTTGCTTTTGAGGATACTATAGTACTAATCTTTCTCACCTCCTCATCCTTCTCTGTTTTCTTCTTAAGACCTGGGAAAGACATTGTGCCTGATATTGTCTTTGACTCCTTGCTCTCTTTGCTTTCTCCTGAGCTCTCCTTCCTGAGTTTCATGCTTGTTTCCATTTCCTCTTCCTCACTTGCATCTTTTGAGTATGGTGAGAAAAACTCCACTTTAGGCAATTTAAGCTTTCCAAACATTGGTTTTTCATCTTTGTCACCATTTAGACTTGGACTTGTTCCATCATCAGACCCACTTGGTGTTACATCAAATGATCCTCTCTGCCCAGACGAAAATGTGACTTTGGGCAATTTAAGCTTACCAGTTTCCACCTCATCTTCGCAATATATTGCTTTCCCCTTTTCATTTGATCGAGACTTGCCAAAACTCGGCTTCATTTTTATCTTTGGCTGTTTGATCTTCACATCTGCACTTGCTTCACCACCTACACAAGCAGAGCTCTCTGTTTGTGGATTCACCATAACAAATACAGCTTTTGTTACTTTTGGCAGA